CACAGAACATAAATACGCAACCTCCTGAAACTGCTCCACTCTCCTTTCCCCAACTCAACACAGGTGGATCTAGAACAAGCAGCCACCAAGCAGGCAACAGGACCACAGAAGCCACGGGAATGGTGGCCTCAGTTCCCTTACCGTCACAGCCAGACACACCTGAAAAAGGCTGTCAAAGTTTGTGCTCTTTAGAAAAAAGGTGCTTTTGTAAGTCCAAGGTATTATTAAGTTCGGGACTGCGCTACCAATTCCAAAAGCCACTCCTCCTCATGAAATGAAATGGAACATGAAAACAAAGAGACAAATCAAGCCCGGGACACACCACTCCGCGAGTGAGAGAGAAGATTCACATCCAGCGCAAAGGAGAAGGCTCATTTGTAAGGTCTGCGCACGTTAGAAGGCTCATTTGTGAGGTCTATGGCCACAGAAGAGTCAGTTAGCAAGTAGGTGCTCTGGCAAGGGCGGCCCTCCATAGGGTTGCTATCAGAGCAGTTCCAAATTCGGACCTTAAATAGCAGCTGCTTCCTTTGAGTACAAAAGAATAAAGCCTGGAACGGTGCCCATGGGCTGCTTAGAAAAGGGTAGAGTGTGTGTAGAAGAATCCTCTCCAACACCCCCCTAAAAGTCAGGAGTCAGATTCTTTGTTGTTCGCAACCATTGTGAAAAAGTGGGGGAAGCCAGCAAGATCCTGGGCAGGGGAGAAGTCTGATTTTCTTTAGCACATGCACACACCTGGCCTCGCCTCACCTCTCCTCTCCCCAAAGCTGCCAGCCTTAGTACAAACAGCCGGCTTTCCCGAGCTCCGGGCTGTCTGGGTGCCAAAATCAAGAAGCCATTTTACTCAGCAGCCCAGCTGCTTGCTCGGCCCAACACCGAAGGCAAGTTTCTGGGAAAAGCAGCAGGCTTTGCCACAACCCCCTCCCCCCACTATCCACACCCTGCCCAGATCCAGAATTTCTGCCATACAGTTTTATTTCCAGAAGCGGGCCGCCTCCAAACAGGTAGCCGCACATGAAATGGAGTCATTGACCATTCCAGAGCTGGAGGAATGCGTGTGGATTGGGAGTGTGCTCCTGGCTAACCCGTGGTCTACACTTCCACACTTAAAAAAAATTTTTTTCAAAATTGATTTTTAGAGGGAATGGGGGAGAGAGAGGTCTAGCCTGCAACCCAGGCACATGCCCTGATGGGGAATCGAACCATCAACCTCTCGGTGCATGGGATGATGCTCAGCCAACGGAGCCACAGAGGTCAGGACTACACTTCCACACTTTTTAGGGAATTGCTTCCACCCTCCCCATAGCCTCAATCTACTTTCAACTGCAAGCAACAATAACTACGGGAAGTTCACTCTGCATCTAGTAAGAGCATCACACACACTCTCTCATTTCACCTCCACCCCCTTGGGGGAGGCACCAGCTCTATCTGGTGATAGGTAAAACCAATCCAGAGCTGGTGCTCTGACCACTAGATGGTACTACCACAATGGCTGAGGGCAATGAAAACAGAACTCCAGAGAGACCCCACTGAGGGAAGCAGAGGGAACTGTGAGGTTAACAGGAATGAGACGTAAAAATCAGGCCCCAGAGGTAAAGGTCCCCAGCTCTGAGGACAAGCCAAGCTTGGAGGACAAGCCTGGTGCTCATTGTAGACTCCATTTCCTGACTCCACTTTGGGTTGTGTGGGAAAGTCCTATTGCTTTAGGCAGTGGGGAAGGGGCTGGTTTCATAGGCTGAGCTTGGAGGGGCCCTTTGAAACCATTTTCTCCAACCCATTGGTTTTACAGATGAGGAAACTGAGGTCTGGAGCACAAAAACGACCTGCCCAAGATTTCAAAGTGTGTTGGGGACACAGGTGGACTAACACCCAGTCTCTGAATTTCCATCCAGGTCTCTGCCTATGCTTCTAAGAAGCCTCCATTAGGTCCAAGGCAACACTATTTCTTGGGAAAGAGATGTCCCCTGCTATTTCCATCAGTGACTGAGGGTAAGGGGTAAAAGGCAGTGAACAAAGGGGCAGAGGGAGGTGGGAGTTAGGAACTCAGCCCTCTCAGTGCAGGCCTAGGATTTGGGGGGAGGTGGTGGGGAATAGACCAGGAAGACAGGTCCCTTACCTGTCCCTAGCCTTGGTCCCCCACTTACAGCTTGAGAGTTCACCACTCTGACACCAGTAAAATGTTTTCACTCTCAACCTTTTTGGGGGGTGGGGCAGGTAGACAGGGAGGTCTAGAAACAACTGAAACATAGCTGGGAAGTTAGGGTTTGGGGGGACATTGGAAGAACAGACCAATTGCTAGTTTGGCTGTGTGCATCAGAGGCCCAGCTTGGGGGAGAGCTGGCATCACAGGCTCAGCAGTCACTGCGGGTCCCACAGGGATGAAAGCAGGAGCCGGGGAAAAGGCACACTCCAATGCCTACCCACCCCAATCATCCCACTGCCACTGAGGTGCTCTTCTCTCTGGATCCCTCCTAGACCACCCTTCTCAGCCTCCTCTCACCAGGACGTGCTGGAGGCCCCCAGCCTCAAAACTCCTGCTTTCCAAGACCCACATCAGGTTCCCAATTCCAAGTTTATAAATTCCTTGTCTCAAGAAAGAAAGGTAAGTGCTGACATCATAACAATCCAAGCAGTTCCCTTAGATCAAAGCTTCCCGTAAAAGATGCTTGGGAGCTTGTTCCCACCCTTCTTCCATTCCCACTCAGTTAGGTATGAAAGGTTGGGATGGAAAGTGCACTGGATTTGAAGCCAACCAGATGTGCTTTCTGATGCTATCCTGCCACATGACCCTGGATAAGTCACTTAACCTCTCTGGGGACTAGTTTCCTGCTCATCAGTAAAATGGGGCTAATGCTTCTTGCTCTGGTTATATCATGACGGCTTGAACTTGCAGACTATAAAATGCTTCACAAATGAATCGTAGTATTCCTTTATTCCATCATCTCCTAGGGGATGACGACTTCATCTCTACAGGGACCTTGATACTACTGAATAATAATTAATTCAGAAAAATGTAGCTACTGCTGCTGCACCCCCCCCTCCCTTACCAGGTCCCCCTTGTTGGTTTTGTGATGGAGTTGGAGGAAAAAAAGGACTAGAATAAGGGACCCAGGGGTTGTAGTATTGGCTCTGTCTCTGTGGTCCTAGGCAAATCACCCTGTCTCCGGTTCTCTGCTTTCTCACTGTGAATAAGAGAGCTGGACTGGATAATCTCTAAAGTCATTCCTAGTTCTAAACCCAAACATTACCAGAGCGAGTCATTTCTGTTTCAGGACATAGCTGACCAGCCGCACCTAGCCCAGGCAGGGGCAGCTCTGAATATGGATGGGGTGGCAGGTTGGAGACAGGAGGGGGCTGAGCAGGTACCCAACTGGCCCTGGGAGCCTCCCATCAGGCAGATGGGGGTGCAGAGGCATACTGGTAGTCAGTGGTTCCCCCCAGCGCCAAGCCCTGATGCAGCCTAGGATGGCTGAGGGCTAAGCAGCAGACGGGCTGGGGAGAGGCTGTGCTAGGGAGGGGCCAAGAAACTGCCGAAAGAACAAGGGCGGGGTGGGGCAAGGCCTGCACGCCTTTTGACATTCTCCGAAGCCAGGAGTTGGTGAGAGGAGGGAGCCAAGCCTGGCAGTGAGCAGGCTGGCTGCAGGGAACACCAAGAAGGGGAGGTGCCCACCGCAGGAGGGTCTCCTTACAGCCCGTGAGGGTTGGGCAAGGGCACATCTATGTGCCATCCACACTAGTGACTGTGTTAGGTGTGNGGAGCCAAGCCTGGCAGTGAGCAGGCTGGCTGCAGGGAACACCAAGAAGGGGAGGTGCCCACCGCAGGAGGGTCTCCTTACAGCCCGTGAGGGTTGGGCAAGGGCACATCTATGTGCCATCCACACTAGTGCCTGTGTTAGGCGTCGTGCCTCTTGCAAGGACAGTTCAGTCTCTTACCTGGTCAGCTCCAGAGAGAGGATTAAACCGCAGGAGATTTTTCCCAGGTTCGTGGGGTCCCCAGGGACCAGCTCCAGGGTAATAAGTACATTTTTTGTTATAAGCCTCTAGTGGCATGCCCTTGTATTTACAGACATCTCTCTTGAGAGCAGCAGAGGGGCTGCCTTTCCAAACTCCTTCCTGACTGCAGAGGAGTAAATACTGTTCATCTGTGTGCGGGGATGTGGCCCTCAGGACCTATTCCTCTCTCTGACTCTGGGTGGTCCCTTAACTCCCCAAGGGAAGGTGTGGAAGGGACACTCCCCTTTTCTGCTGCCTCTCTCAGGCTTCCCGTGGCAGAGGCGGAGCGCACCGCACCTGCAGCTGCTGACCGGGTGTCCCTGGCAGGTAAAGGTGCTCTCGGCCCCGCCTCG